CTCAAGAGTCATCCTATTATATTTACATAATAAAGAAGTTCTACAGAAATTCTAGACTATAAAGAAGATCTACATGGTTTTTTTTAATGAGAAGAACATTAGATGAAATTAGACTCCATAAGAACTCTCATTAGAAGAGTGTTCTCTTCCTTTTAACAGAGGTACCTCTTGATCACTTAAGACTCTGGGTCAGAATTGGGCAGTCAAATAGCTTACGCGTACACAGACAATTAAAAAAACCACAACCACAAAACAACCACCCCTCCAAAACGCAAGAAATCCAATAAAAGAATAGATCTCAAAGAATGTAACTCATTGGAAGTGGGCTGCCTTTGCAACACTTTCAGTGGTGCAGCAAATATATTGGTTTTGCCAAATGTTCACGTAGTTACCTGAGCCAGTCCTCATAAGTAAAAGCTCATACGTACAATAAACACAGGGAACACACTTCCTTGAACTGCCACATGAGCCATATTACAATTACAGTCCAGTTTGTCTGTCTGTATAACTTAACCACTGCAATCCAAGAAATTACATTACGGAGACACACCACACTGATCCACCTTCCACTCCTACTGCTTTTTACTTTTTGTTCTTTGTAGTCAGCGTTTGTACAATTTTTCTCAACTTTACCTGCTGTGGTGAAACACAGGTTTTAAATTCCAGCCACACTGATTTATCATTTTTAAATTTAAAACAGTTTGGTATGATAAGAATTAGACATTGGATGTTTTTATAATCAAATTAATAAATGCTATACCTCCAAGTTCTTTTACGTTCAAGATGGCATTCTGGAATGGCACAGCTTTTATACTAAAACCTAAGAACAGAAATAAAGAGTATTAGTAAGACATCTGTTAAAGAAGCCATTTGAAATCAACTGCATACATTCAGAAAAAACTACTTTTTTCATCAAGAACCAGGATTTTGCATGTGAAATTCTGTTTCAATATGATCTTTAAAAATATCAGTTACAAGGTGGAGGGTGGGAAATAAATCAGCATGAGCAATGAAATTTGCCATGCTAATATTAAATAGCAGGCACACATAAAATTCAGCACAGAACTTCATCCAGGCCATCTACCATTCGCTAAGGAGTTAGTACAGAATATACCTTTACAAAACCACCTTTTAATGCATCTGCAACTAAAGTTTAGATTTCAGACTACCAGTAATATGAAGTGATCCTTCTGCAATTTTTAGGAGATGTGGAAGACAATGTGCAATTCAAATCACTGTTTTCTTACATTTAAACTTCATAGGTTTTGGTTACACCTAGAGTATTAATCCTGTCTATAAAATGTTATTAACAGAAAGATCCTTTTACAGACCTAAGTGGTATGTATTAAAATAGTTACAAGCACACTAGAAGTATCTATGAATCCTCTATTAGCTTAAAACCAAAAAACTTTTTAAAAGTGTGATGTTTTCCCTTAAATGAAAATTCAGACAGCCAAGAGAAAGGGAATGTGAAAGGCTCCCAGGAATCCATCAATACACTATATAGTAAATTCTGCATGTTTAGCGCATATATACATATAAGTGTACATAATACTTTACACAGGAAAAATTACGTCTGCTTTTTCAGCATAAAGTGTCCAGAGAGACATTAAATTTATTTCCACCTAGCACAAGTAGTTTCAATGTGATCACATACCTGTGAACTGAGCAAAGAAGTTTTGAAAATATGTGTTTCACTCCAAGCTTATTAGCTATCATTTAACAGAAACAAGATGTTTTTTTTCTCCCAGATCAGACTAATAAGATATTCCTGTACTCCAGCCATGGTGAGTGCTAGATGTAGTAGAGGAAAGTGCAAGAAAAAATCTGAAAGGGACTAATTATGAAATGTTTTTGCTGTTGTTGTCTTAAACCAAATCCTAAACTCTCCCTAGAAAGAAGGAAAAACTGGAATGGATCTGAATGGGAAAGAAGAGGGGAAAAAAGAAAAAAAAAAAGGTTGAATTACTCTACAATTTCCTTCTAACTTTTTGAGTTAGGCATTGACGCTTTCTCTATACAATGAAGTGTCAGATCTCTAACGTTCTCAGTAACATCACTATGAAGGCAATGGGTTAATTATTCATCACAGAAAAAAAAAAAATTCTCGTACCTGTTTTGCTTTGTTTACTTACAGTTGTACTAAACAACCTTACATTTTTGTAATTTAAACAAAGATTCACTGAAAACCAGTTAGGGTTGTTAAGGGACAATCATAAAATTCAAGCCCATGAACAATGTAAAGCCATGTAACTATAAACACAAGTTACTCGCACAACACTCACTATCTGTTCCCTCAGCAAATCAACCTTAGTAAATCACTGCAGCCACAGAAGCACACTTCTTTCCTTTCTATGGCCTAGTCTGTCCTCTTTCTGAACTTTGCAGCCAGGTATTCCTTTTTCTCACTCCATATGTTTGTTTCTGGTTTTTCTGGTGCTGTTTTGGGGTTGTGGTTTTGGGGGTTTTTTGGTTTGGTTTTTTTTTGTTTGTTTGTTTTTAATCAAAATACCCTTTTCAGTATTAGGCATTTTGGTTCATCTATACCAGCACGCATATTCAAATTTTTTGGACTTAAGGTATCTTTTATCTGTGGTTGTTGTGTCTGGTTTTATCAATCTTCTCAATGCCCCTGAAACTTTTTGTAAATTGATTCTCTGATTTCAGCCTGCCCTTACTACATAAACAAGCCTCTTTGCTGATCTAAAAAGAAAGGATTAGCACCAGAAATAAACATTTCCATTACCTTTGTTCTTTTGGTTGCTAGCACATACCACAAGGCAGTACTGACCAAGTACAAGACAAAATAAACCCCAACTTAAGTTTCAGAACATCACTGACTCATTCTATTTTATAGCACGTTCTCCTCTTTTCTGTCCATATAATAAGACTGCTTAAAAACTCAAAGTAAAAAGAGAAGAAAGAAATCTTTCAATGTGTGTCTACACTACACTGCTACTACATGTTTCCTGTGGTTCAACTTTATTACACCATAATATGTTTTGACTTTCAACACATTCCAAATTCTGTTTTCATGTATATTCCCCAATGTATGACCAAACACTGAAAGAGTAAGTAGTGGCAGCTTCAAAGCAATTTATTAGGTACTTTCAAAAGCAAGATAACTAAGATGAACTTCTCTACCACCTCTGCTATGTATTTCAAAAGTTACATTTGGGCAACATTACAACACACCATGGAATAAAGGCAGCATCCTACCTGTGGTAGACACTATATTCTCCGGGCTTTCACTGCAAAGCTGTGATAGAAGACTTGTCTTGCCAGAACCAGTGAGGCCTATGCAAACCAAGTCATATTCAGGTCGTGGTGGTGGTGGTCCCTTGCAGCAAAGTGCTCTAAAACACTGCCAGGGTAGGGAAAAACAAACAAAACAAAAACAAGTTGTTAATCTTTTTTTGCAAGTCTTTATTCAATAAGGTTCTAAAAATCAAGTTTATAAATTTAAAGGCATTGTAGAGAAGCAAACTATTATTCCAATTTACTACTTTGACAAAACCAACAACTAATAGACTGAGACCACCTCAACTACGATCTAGAACAGCTTTATAAGAAAACATAAATACATCTGTTAACTTTTTGCCTAAACCTCATAGAGCTGGATTGAGGAAAGTGACATCCATTTCCCCAATAGCATAAACAGTGCACATACAGTGACACAGGCACGTGCCCTCCTAAACTCTGCGGTTGGGTATGCATAAGTTTGCTTCCTGTGCAAACTTCATGCAATACCTGCTGTGAACATCAGAGCAGCTCCTGAGAAGCTGCTGGCCAGGTGTATGCGTGACCCTGGCTAATGCTACTGGACAAGAACCCTTATGTCTCAGTACCTGTACACCTCAGAACCCATTCTCTATGTGCCTGGTGGGACTTCCACTTTCCGTAATGGAATTGCAAGATCTATGCGACAGGAGTCTGCCTTTTCCTAAGATACCGTTGTGTAACACAACCTGGGACTGGAATTCCTGGTTCCCACATGTAGGCAAGCCCAGTCTACCTGCACAGGAGACATCGGTGTTAGGATCTGCGCAAGAGGCCTGTTGTACTTATTTTAGCTATACATCCAATGTTACAACCGGGTGGTGGGGAAATAGTTCTAATATAATATATGCCAATAAGACTTTATGGTGTAATAGTACGAGCTCCAAGGTAACCTTTTCATATTCAACTGATACATCTTTGCTATCAGGATATTTTTTAATCTGTGGAAACCAGGCATGGCAAGGTATACCTAAAGGAATAAAAGGTGGGCCCTGTACGATTGGAAAGCTAACTCTATTGACACCTAATTTAACTATGGCATATTGGATGCAGCAAAACTGGTCAGGAGTATCTCGACATAGATGCAGCACATATAGTTTTCCATCAACTTGTATACAGTGAGGTGGACTTCTGGTCAGTCTCACAAATAATCCCAGACTCACTTTTCAAGCCTGGGGTCGCCAGTGCGAAGGCACTTTCAACCCTTGCCAAAGTGGGGTGTTGGCTCACTAAATATAGTAATGCTACAAGCGAGATATTAACAAATCTTTTAAAAGATGTAGACTCTGTTAGACATGCTATGCAACAGAATAGGGCTGCAATTGATTTTTTGCTTTTAGTTCATGTACACGGATGTCAAGATTTTGACGGTCTTTGTGGCATGAACCTCAGTGATCATTCACAGTCTATACACACTCAGCTACAACAATTGCATTTGCTTACAAAACAGCTCCAGGTGCAAGATGGATGGAAACCTTTTTCAGGATAGACATGGCATTGGCCATGGTTGAGGAATTTGATTTTGATGGGTTTAGCCATATTGCTTATCTTTATATGTATCACTTGTTGTATTCCGTGTCTGCTTGGGCTTGTGTGCAATATGGATGATGAGCTTATTAGACAAGTGGCTGTACGCTACGTTGTATTCCCTTAATGGAGCAAATGTTCCATCATGGACCATGCAGTGGAATATGTATTGGGAACCATGGGCTTAACAAGAATGATTTGGTCCATTATGGACCACTGCCCCATCACGTGCTCATCATGTAATAATGAACAGCTAAAAAAGACACAAGAGAGGAAACAGCTTGTCTCAAGAGGATGCCAAAGAGGAAGTAGCTGGGGAGCTATGAAACTGGTGTTGAAAATCCCGCAGAACAACCTTGAGTAGACCACAAAGGACAGTGAGGAAGATGAAGAATGATGAAGAAACGACCACTCGAGCACTTAGGAGCCCCCCTGTGTACAGACGACACATGCACAGATGGAGCGTTAGCTGTGTGACAAAGATGAGAGGTGCTCCCAGGACAGGCTGACCCCCTGTCACAGGGCTACCACCAAAGGACAAGATAAAAAGAGGGACGTCCCTTGGTTTGGTGAGGTATGCAGCCATATAGAGGACAATGTGGCCTTCTCGGGGACGCCCAGAAAGACGGAGCCTACCACCCGAATCACCACGCGAGCACAGAAAAGGGTCCTCTATATGCAATCATCTGTTTTGGCATGAATTTGCTTGCTGGGTTGGTATGTGTTTAAAGCAATAAACCGCGTAACAGCTAAATGCAAACAGAGTGAGTGTGTCTGAACGAGTGGTCACTGGGATACACTGAGTAGGTGTCATCCCATCCAGGAATCTTCCTAAGACACCAGGCTCTACCTGGTGTCACGGGAAAGAACCAGAGAACTTTGCTCCATTAATGTCCTTCCTGGGCTTGCTTTGTCATGTGTTTTACCTTAAAATGTCAGCTGTTAAAGAGCACAGCCTGTAAAGGAATAAATTCTCCCGGATATAGCTCTAGTCAAAAATACGCAGATCTCTCACTTTCCCTGGAAAGTATACATTGATCACAATACAAAGAATAAAAATCTCTTACACAAAGCCTACTTTAGAGTTCTGCTCACATCTCTTAAACATTATTGTCGAAGTAGGTCAAGTCCATTCAAAAGGTCCTTTAAGCCCTTATAAAGGTTCATCAGACCTTTCTTTATATGTAATATGGAAACTTTTACATAAAAATCTAAAAAAATACCATTCTGGGAAAGCTCTTAAGTTTATATTTAAGGTATGGGGTGTAATTACCCATTAATGTCCAAGACAGACCTCCACCACCCCAATATATATAAATACCTTATTCCCCAATATCTGCCACCTTCATATCAGAGGAATACATCTGCTATAACAAGGAAGGGAAAAGAGGTTTGTGCAATCACTCCTCTCACATACATTCTGTCTCTACATAGTCCTGGTTCTTTTCTTCCATGTTAACCACAAGCCAATCACCACACTGGGTAAAGAAATCAAGCCTTTACAACCTTAACCTAGTTTGTCCACACGACTACCCAGGATCTGTCATTAAGAGATCTCCTCTACTGGAGGAGCAGAGAAACTGAACAGGCGTCAGTAAGGCACCATTGCAAATAGTGGGGTCTGGCTCTGGGAGAAAGTAATCCAAAGAGAATGTGATCACAAAAAGACCGCTTCACTGAATGCGGAACTTTTATTGGATTCTTTCCATGTAGAGGGCAAGTTATCATACACACTGTTGAAACAGTCTTCATTGGTTTAAAGAAGCAAAAGATAAGTTCAGAGAAAGTTCTGAAATTCTTTCAACACCTTTTAAAAATGTGAAAAGAAATATTTTAGGAGTAAAAACATTTACAGTAGCAGTTAAGCTGAACACAGGCAACAGATTTTTTTTTTTAAAAAAAGCTTTGTCTCTATTAAAATTTGACTCAAAAAAATTTTTTTTCAAGAAGGTTTCCCCTTATATGTGTGTCCATAGCTAAGACAGAGCAAACATGCCTTCTAGCTTTATTCACTGACGTCAGTTTATACTTATCTCACAGACCCTACAAAGCCACAGCAAAAATTCTACTCCAGTACTTAAGTGAGAAAGGCCAACTGAGTTCATTGCACAACATAAGCTCCTTCAAACAGAGTTACCACTTAATGGATATCAGGCTGAAGGCCACATAAAATTCTTCGAAGCTTACCAGAGCTCCCGAGGCTGTGTGTCAGGTCCTTTGCAGCCAGCCTTTAAAAAGGATTCAATTTGTCCCTGTCAGCATGGCATCTTTGCGACAACTTCTTGATGTCATATTGAAAAACACAAAGGAACAGATGAGCTGATGGAAGTCTGTGCTTCTCTCTGTCCAGTCACTGTGCTAGTTCTTATGCAACCAGACACGACTCTTGCAGCCCTGACGATGTTTAATAACCTGCAGTTCTGTCAAGGATAATTACTGCTCTTTGTAGAACACATTGTATGGAGGCTCTGTGGGTGACAGAGGGGCTCCACAGGCTGGTTTTGTGATGTTCAGGATCTCTTTAGTGCAGATCCCTTAAGTCTAACTTAGTCTGGAGAATCATTACATGCTGTTGATTAAACGTATGACCAAAAATCCAGGTCAAATTGCATGTTCAAAGCACCATATGTAGACCTGCGACCCACTCACTCATCGGTCACCAGTAAGCACAGTTAGGTATGAAAGTTCCTAAGATACAGCACAGAACCCCGGAAGACAGCAAAATGGTTCCCTCCAGACCACTCTCATATTTTATTTGATTTGATTCCACTATCTTTGCTATATTCATGACTTTGTCCTTCTGCAAGGCTAATTTCTTTCAGTAGATATTTTTGTTTGGTTGGAACGAAAACAGACTTTAAATACTCTAGCTTCAAAAAGTTGCTGAAATTTAAGCTGCTGTGTATAGCACTTACCACTGGCTAACATGAGAAATTATACAGTACATTTTAGGGATACTCGTAATAATGTATTTAAATTTTATAAACTTGTTTCACAATCCTCCTTACCCAAGCCCAATGAACACCTCTTCCATTGGAAATGTGACTATACAAACAGTCCCATCACTGCCTTCCTGTTCTCTCAGCAGCTTCAAGTTACCTGGTCCCTAACAAAGTCAGGGCTATTTAACCATCCATTATAGAGAATAAACCTCTATTGTGACAACTTTGGCAGCTGTATCTAGTAGCTGCACACGATCTGTGGAGAGTAGAAAATTCAGAGGTGATTGACCATGCAATTAAAATTATGTCCTATAATCTGCTTTTGATTATGGACAGGAAATGCATACTGAAATATTTTATAAAGCATGGACGAGAGCTACATCATTATTTAAGATGTCGTCACGTATTACAGTGCAGTCTGAAGTGCACCAAACTGCAAGAAATGTGTATTAGTAACTAAACAAGCCATTCCTGAAATCCAAACCACAAATATATCAGAAATATTGAGAAAGTTGTTAAAGTCACAACCAGCATGTAGTCCTTTCCAAAATCAGCACACTTTCCACTTCATTTGGACAACTCAAAGGGCATAAGAGAAACTTGACTTAACAGCCTG